TTCAGCCCCCATGCTGTCACAAAGCGCCACTGAGCACAACCATTCATTTGAATAGGGCGCCATCTTGGATCGCCGGGGCTTGCCCCTGACGTAGAGGTACAGACGATCTGCAGCGAGCACAGCGCTGGCGCCACCGTGTGACCATCACGCAGTAACTGCACCAGGAAGAAGGGGAAGAGTGCGGCGCTGCCGTGCAGCTCGTTCAGAAGCAGAGAACACACAAACACGGGCTCATGCAACACACACCACCACCGCGTTAGCCAGCACTATCACACCATAACACGCTAACACCAGGGAGAAGAGCAGGAACTTGAAGGGGCCCAGCTCTGTGTACCAGGAGAGGGTGAATAGAAGGGGGAGAGAGGAGTTCACCAGGGAGTCAGAGAGACGAGACGGAGAGCAGAGGGGAGAGGGGGGAGTTCATGAGGGATTCGGAGTGAGAGGTGAGAGACGAGTTCACGAGGGAGTCTGAGAGAGAGAGGAGGGAGGAGTTCATCATTGTCCACAAATTAAGTTTCTTCAGACCCAAAAAGGCAAACAGTGACTTTTCAGATTCTGATGAACAAATGACAGAATATGATTTTCAGAAGAATATTTCACTAATATAGAAATGTTTCACATTATTTACACTTGTTTTTAACAAAGAAACATCTTCCCATCATGTTAAACCTCATCCTTATTACTTTCACAAAGAGGAACAGTCTTCTCTGAGTGTGTGAGACACTGGTGTCCTGCTACCTCTGAGTGTCTGATATGCTGTTGGTGAATCCACAACTTTGTAAAGTCTCAGAGACTGCTGTGGTTCAGGGTGATACGCAAATAAACTGAACTGCAACTAATGAACGACTGGAATATTATTGTTATTATATTGAGCCAAGTGTTCTCTGCAAGACATCTGCCCACGGACCAATCACAGTCCACCATGATACATCTGTGCCAAGACTGGGGTTCAGTCCTGGTTTAGACCTGGTTCAGTCCTATTCCAGTCCGGGTCCAGTCCTGGTCTAGTCCTGATTCAGTCCTAGTTCTGTCCTGGTTTAGACCTGGTCCAGCCCTGGTCTAGTCCTGGTTTAGACCTGATCCAGTCCCGGTTTAGACTTGGTCCAGTCTGGTTTTGACCTGGTTCAGCCCTGGTTCACGATCACAGACCACAAAGCTTTACATATGAGCCAAAATGTCTGAGAAAAATCAGCAAAAACAAAAACCAATAAATCTCACACAACAGGCACCCAGGCTGGACCTGGTTCAGATCTGGCTTAGACCTGGTCTGGACCTGGTTTATAAAGGCTGTTCTCACAGATACCCACACCCCTGCAGAGTGCCCCCTGTGGGAGGGACAGACTCAGAGCGCTGAGATCATCTGTGTCTGATCTTAAAGTGGCAAATAAAAATTAAAGCCGCAAGCGGTGTCTAACGGCCCTCTCATCTTCAAAGGAGGTGCTGGTACTGACACGTTCTTGTAAAAGAATCACTGATAAAATCAAAGTATGTGACGAGTGAGAGCCTCCTCTGAACTTTCACTTATTTTAGAAATGACCAAGCGTAGCATGTTCCTCCACCAGCGGCGCTACAGTTAAAATGGCTGCTGCCCCAAGCACCAGGAGCACACTTCCTGTTTGACAAACGCATGGCTGAGACGTACACTTTAAATATTAACGGAAGTAGTAAGGCCCTTCTCTGCCGTTAAAACTTATCTGACATCACGGCATTCAAAAGTCCACAGTGGCTAAAAAAATACCCCCCTCAGCCTCGACAGCATCTGGAACGTAGCTTTAATCCAAGATCCACTTTTGGACCCGGCTGTAAAGATGTTTTCCAGAGGAATCAAGGTGTCGTTAGAATTTACTGGATAATTCTGTTTCCTGTTCAACAACACAGGAGACGGATTACAGCATGTCAGTGTCATGGACCCTTTGAGCCTGGACCCACCCCCACTGGTCTGAAAAATCTCAACAAAGAAAAGTGAACATCCATGGTTCCTCTCATGAGGAGGCAAACTGAGCCGGCAATCTTTATTTTTTTTCTTATTAACATCTTAATTTTGACCATATTGTTACTGTATCTATTTCTTCACCATGAGTCATTTATATCTCAGTGATGACATCTCTGTTGTTATGCAATGTTACAAATAATATAAAAAGCCTCGTCTCCTTTTCTTTGATCTGGAGGGACTCTGAAATAAACCGTGTACATGTACAATCGCCTCAGGCCTACATCTCAATTCTGTGTTTCAAAAAAAACATGAGTATCATGACAAGAGTTCACCTCCTGATCCACCAGGGGGCGAGAGAGAGGAAAATTGGCTCCTGTTTGTTCATCTGCTTCTGCGCGGAGCTTTTCGCGCTGTTCCCAAGCCAGCCCTCGGCTTCTCAGATCACTCCATGATACATCTGGTTCCTGCTTACAGACAGAGACTAAAGCTCTCGAAACCTGCAATGAGGAGCTCCAAAGTGTGGTCTGATGAAGCTGTGGAAGAGCTGCGCGCATGCATGGAATCTACAGACTGGGACCTTTTCAGAGCTGCCACAGATAGTTTGGATGAATATACGGACACTGTGACGTCATACATTCACTTCTGTGAGGATAGCATCATTCCAACAAGGACCAGGGTCATCTATAACAACGACAAACCCTGGTTCACTGCTAAACTCCGGCAGCTCAGGAAAGCAAAGGAGTCTGCTTTCAGGGAGGGGGACCGCAGCGGCTACAAAGCAGCTAAATATCAGTTCAGGAGAGAACTGAAAGCAGCCAAGTCCCGGCACAGAGAACGACTACAGGAGCAGTTTGGTAACAACAATACTGCTTCAGTCTGGAGGGGCCTACGGGAGATCACCAACTACAAACCCAAAGCCCCCCCCTGTGCTGACGACCACAAGCTAGCTGACGATCTGAACTTATTTTTCAGTCGCTTTGATGCTGCCCCTGACACCTCTCCCTCCCCCACCCCCCACTACTCTAACGACCCACCCATCAGCCCTGCCCCCAGCCTAACAATAGCCGCTAAAGAGATTAAACAACTCTTCCTGAGGCTGCACCCCCGCAAAGCTCCTGGCCCGGACCACGTGTCTCCGGCCACTCTGAGACACTGCGCCAGTGAGCTTACTCCTGTGTTCACGGACATTTTCAACACCTCTCTGCAGTCCTGCCATGTCCCGGCCTGCTTCAAATCCTCCATCATTGTCCCCGTCCTGAAGAAGCCCAGGATCACAGGACTCAATGACTACAGACCTGTAGCACTTACGTCTGTCGTCATGAAGTCATTTGAACGCCTGGTTCTCTCCCATCTCAAGTCCCTCACCTCCCCCCTCCTGGACCCCCTGCAGTTCGCCTACAGAGCCAACAGATCTGTAGACGACGCCATTAACCCGGCCCTCCACCACATCCTACAGCACCTGGACTCCCCGGGGACCTACGCCAGGGTCCTGTTCGTGGACTTCAGCTCTGCCTTCAACACAATCCTGCCATCCCTGCTCCAGGACAAGCTCTCCCAGCTCAACGTGCCCGATTCCACCTGCAGGTGGATCACTGACTTCCTGACGGACAGGAAGCAGCGAGTGCGTCTGGGGAAGAATGTCTCGGACTCTCGGATTATAAATACAGGAGCCCCACAGGGCTGTGTTCTTTCTCCCCTGCTCTTCTCCCTGTACACCAACCACTGCACCTCCAGCCACGACTCCGTGAAGCTGATCAAGTTCGCGGACGACACCACCCTCATTGGACTCATCTCCAACAACGATGAGTCCGCCTACAGGAGGGAGGTGGACCGGCTGGTGTCCTGGTGCAGTGGTAACAACCTGGAGCTGAACGCCCAGAAGACAGTGGAGATGATTGTGGACTTCAGGAAGAGCACTGTCCCCCCACCCCCACCCTCCGTGATGGACTCCCCCATCACCTCTGTGGAGTCCTTCCGTTTCCTGGGCACCACCATCACCCAGGACCTCAAGTGGGAGCCGACCATCAGCTCCCTCATCAAGAAGGCCCAGCAGAGGATGTACTTCCTGCGGCAGCTCAGGAAAGCCAAGCTGCCTGCACAGATGTTGGTGCAGTTCTACACGGCCATCATCGAGTCCATCCTCACCTCCTCCGTCACCGTGTGGTTCGCTGGAGCCACAGTCAGGGACAAACAGAGACTACAGCGCATTGTGCGCTCTGCAGAGGAAGTGATCGGCCGCAGCCTTCCATCGCTGCAGGACCTGTACGTCGCCCGAGCTCGAGGCCGGGCTGGTCGTATCACAGCCGACCCCTCTCACCCTGCACATGGACTATTCCAACCACTCCCCTCAGGCAGGAGGCTGCGGTCCATCAGGACTAGAACCTCCCGCCACAAGAACAGTTTCTTCCCCTCTGCTCTTGGACTCTTGAACACTTCTTAACCTGTCCCCCCGCCCTTTATAAAGTCACTTTACTGCCCATCATACGTCACTTTACTTCACTGTACTGCTGTCACCTTACATTGTGTGCACCATGTGCACTTGTATATTGTAAATAGTAACTGTATATTGTAAATAGTAACTGTAACTCTATTTTAAATTTAAATTTATTCTTTAGAAGTGTTTTTTATTCTTATTTTTATTATCTCTTTTTGACTGTTGCACTTAGCCAAAGCAATTTCCTAGTCTGTGACCTCCTGTTACTTACGTGGCAATAAAAATGATTCTGATTCTGATTAAGGCTAACACTGTGGTGATGTCAGTGAGTGTCAGCCTCAAGAGTGGCAGAGTGTAACCAGTTACAAACACACTGACCTTATTAAGGAAGCTGACCCACACAGCATGCATTCTGGACATACACACAAGTATATAGACGCACACAAAAGCACACACACACACGCGCGCACAAACACACAGTGTTGTTACTCGTTTATTCACATCCCAAAATAAAAATGACAGATGATGAATTCAAAAGTTAAAGTCCAGGAAAAGTGGGTGTCGTCCAGGTGCGTGACATCACCGCTGCAGGCCCCTCCCCTCCTCCCCCCTGTGGGTGGGAGGTCTCAGTCTCTATGGTTTTTCCTTGGGGATCACCTCCTCTCGGGGTTTGGCTCCTCCAAAGATGGCAGAGTTAGGGTTGGCCACCTGGTTCAGAGGACCAGCAACTGTACGAGGCTTCAGCTGAAGGCGGGGCCTCTGTGCTCTCTCCTCTGCAAGGAGAGGGGGGGGCGGGTGTAGAGGAGGAGAGCAAGGGAGGCAGAACAGTAGGGGAGACAGAGACACCGTCAGATCAGAACTAATGTGAGCTCTACACAGCTCTAAGGTCAGCTCTAATGTGAGCTCTAAGGTCAGCTCTTACCTTCAGACGGTTCCCTGAAGTCTGTGGGCGGTGCTCCGCGTGGGGGGGGGCCTTCTCTGAAGCGACCCACGGCTCCCCCTCCTCCCCCCCTCCTGTCGCTGGGACGACCGCCTCGCCCTCCCCTCCCCCCCATTAAGTCGTCATCTCCACGGAAACCTGAAATAACGTTAAAATAATGTTTAAAGCTGGGGTCTATCACTTTAGTCTCATAAATAACACATGTTTAAAGCTGGGGTCTGTCACTTTAGTCTCATAAATAACATGTTTAAAGCTGGGGTCTGTAACTTTAGTCTCATCAATAATACATGTTCAAAAAGTACCCAGCTTTAATGTAAACCTTGTATGAGCCCTTATTCATAATGGTGTGAGAAAGTTTGGGCGCCCCCACATGGTCAGAACCTTCCACCATTGGCCAGCACAGTCAGAACGCTGCCCTCTGATTGGCCGAGACCTACCTCCGTCCTGCCAATCGCTGCCATCCTCTCCAAAATCGCGCCCGCCTCCTCGCTCCCTAAAGCCCCGCCCACCACCGCCGCGGCCTGAAGAACCCAACACAAAAGCATGGACATGAGAAACTAAACATGAGACCGGAGAGAGAGACCAGAGAGAGAGACCAGAGAGAGAGACCAGAGAGAGAGACCAGAGAGAGAGACCAGAGAGAGATACCAGAGAGAAATACCAGAGAGAGATACCAGAGAGAGATACCAGAGAGAGATACCAGAGAGAGATACCAGAGAGAGATACCAGAGAGAGATACCAGAGAGAGATACCAGAGAGAGATACCAGAGAGAGATACCAGAGAGAGATACCAGAGAGAGATACCAGAGAGAGATACCAGAGAGAGATACCAGAGAGAGATACCAGAGAGAGAGACCAGAGAGAGAGACCAGAGAGCGAGACCAGAGAGAGAAAAGATATATGTTGTTGGATTATACACATGACGCATGAGAAGCAAATGTGTAATACATAAAACCGGACCAATCAGAGAGCAGAGAGCAGACCAATCAGAGCTGTTCATAAAGTTTAAAATATAAATGCCAATATGAAAACAAGTTGAAGAGAAGTTTTAACTAACCCTCCTCCTCGCTCACCTGTTTCTACTCCTCTCTTACTTCCGCCTCTCTACCTCCTCACCTCTCTCACCTCCTCCTCGGCTGTCGTTCTTGAAGCCAAAGTTCCCGCCTCCTCGTTCTTGTCGACGCCCCTCTGCGATGTCCACCCTCAGCGGCCGCTCACCGAGCAACTGTAACAGAAGGAGATCTGAACTGCACCTCCTGTGACAGGAGATCTGAACTGCACCTCCTGCTGTTAATGACAGACATACTGACCGCTCCGTCGTACGTTAGCGCCTCTTTTAACGACTCCAAGTCGTCAAACTCCACATAACAGAAACCTGCAGAAACAGGAGGTTAGAGATCACAGCTCCAAAGCAGGAGTACAGCAGGTCTACAGCAGATCGAAAGCAGGTCTTCAGCAGGACTACAGCAGATCGAAAGCAAGACTATAGCTGGTCTAAAGCAGGAGTACAGCAGGACTACAGCAGATCGAAAGCAAGACTATAGCTGGTCTAAAGCAGGAGTACAGCAGGACTACAGCAGATCGAAAGCAGGTCTAAAGCAGGGCTACAGCAGGACTAAAGCAGGACTAAAGCAGGACTAAAGCAGGACTAAAGCAGGACTAAAAAAGCAGGTCTAAAGCAGAACTAAAAAAAGCAGGTCTAAAGCAGGACTAAAGCGAAACTAAAAAAGCAGGTCTAAAGCAGGACTAAAGCGAAACTAAAAAAGCAGGTCTAAAGCAGAACTAAAAAAAGCGGGTCTAAAGCAGGACTAAAGTAGCTCTAAAGCAGGTCCAAAGCAGATTGAAAGCAGGACTAAAGCCCTGTCCCAATACTCGCACTTCCACCCTCGCGCCCCTCATTTTCACGTTCCCAATGATGGGTGCGAGTGCGTACACTTATTTTAACGTGTGTGGAGCAACGGTAACTTTGTCCCCACAGGGTCGGACAAAGTTAACTTTAATTTTCATTAAGTTTAGGTATGAAAATGACCATCTCTTCACTAGTCGATGACGTAACCTGCACTGTCCCAATTCCGCCTTTTTTGCACGCTTGTAACCTGCCACTCAAACCCTTGCGTGCACTTCAAACAAATGCACACTCCGTAGTGGAGTGTAGGGTGTGGGTATTGGGACTGGGCCTTAGTCACCTTTAACTTTTGTCCGTGTCCTTGTCCCAGACCTCTGACCCTCACCTTTGAACTTGTCCGTGTCCTTGTCCCTGACCAGCCGGACGCTCCTGATCTGTAGATCTTGGAAGATGCTGTCAATGTCGCCTTGAACCGTGTTGAATGGTAGGTTCCCAACGTACGCTGTGTACGGAGGCTCCATGGGCAGTTCCTTCTGCTTCCTGCTGCCGCCGCCACCTCCTCCTCCACTGCCTCCACGAGGCCTGGAGAGACATGACATGCATGATGTTTAATACATAATAATAATAATAATAAAAATAAATGTACTTAGTAGGGTTGCCGAGATTTTACGGTTTTACGTTAATCGTGATTATAAAAGCCCACGGTAGGTTAACCGTAAGGATTTTAGATGTCACTGTTTACCGGTGGTAGGGGAAACTCTTGTGCGAGGTGCCGTACGGGCCACTGCACACACACAGCAGCGTAGACACACCGGTAAATTGAAGATTGCACGACAAGCTCCCCAGTTAGTAGCACTGTACTTACGGATCGCCTTAGCGTCTTTTATCGTGGGAATAACAGTGGTTTCAAGATCAGTTTTTGAAAGTCCAGTTTCATGGTTAACTGTAGTTCTGGAACAGTCTTAGTGAAGTGTTGCAGATGAACAGATTCATTCAAACAGAGGCAGATCCTCGTGAAAAAAAAAGTTGCGTTCTTCCTTCTTTGGGCCAAATAGTGCATCACATATTTGCACCCAAAAACACATTTTCTCCAAGGTGACACTTTTAGTCACTGACAAAAGCAGAAAAACGGCTCCATGTGGCGGAAGAGGGACTGTACCATAGACATGCGCTTAGGGCTGGGCGATTAATCGATTTTAATCATTAATTCGAGTTTTACGTTTAGGGCGATTTTTTTTTACAAAAAAATTGATTTTTATTTTCTCCAGCGCAGAACTACAGCGCTAACGCGCTAACCGCGGGTCTATGGTGTTGAGCAGTCATTTTGAAGCTAACCTAATGCTAACAGTCTCCCTCTGGCCTTATGCTCGCTCTCACAGTTGGTGCTGTTGCAATAACACTTCAAACGTTCAAGAATCAGACTTTATTTAAATCGCCAGAACACACACACACACGCACGCAGGCTCCGGTCGCTATGTTCGTACGCCATGTTCGTACGCCACATCTTTCACGCTCTCTCACGCTCGTTATTCCAAATCGCACTCCCGTGTCCGTGGCGCGCACACACTCGTGTCCCACTGAGCCGCTGCACTTTGGGGAAAGACACGTCTCACACATTGCTCTCATTGCTCTGATACAAACAACGTGTTCCCCGCTGTCTGTTAGCTACAGTAGCTGCTACAGTAGCTGTTAGCTACAGTAGCTACTACAGTAGCTGTTAGCTACAGTAGCTGCTAGCTACAGTAGCTGTTAGCTACAGTAGCTGTTAGCTACAGTAGCTGTTAGCTACAGTAGCTGTTGCTACAGTAGCTGTTGCTACAGTAGCTGTTGCTACAGTAGCTGTTGCTACAGTAGCTGTTGCTACAGTAGCTGTTAGCTACAGTAGCTGTTAGCTACAGTAGCTGTTGCTACAGTAGCTGTTAGCTACAGTAGCTGTTAGCTACAGTAGCTGTTAGCTACAGTAGCTGTTGCTACAGTAGCTGTTGCTACAGTAGCTGTTGCTACAGTAGCTGTTGCTACAGTAGCTGTTAGCTACAGTAGCTGTTGCTACAGTAGCTGTTAGCTACAGTAGCTGTTAGCTACAGTAGCTGTTAGCTACAGTAGCTGTTAGCTACAGTAGCTGCTAGCTACAGTAGCTGCTACAGTAGCTGCTACAGTAGCTGTTAGCTACAGTAGCTGCTACAGTAGCTGCTACAGTAGCTGCTACAGTAGCTGCTACAGTAGCTGTTAGCTACAGCATCAGAATGTAAACAGGAAGCTCGCACAATGCGGGAGTCACTGAAGTTAGTATTAGCGCCACCAGCTGGACCGAGCGTTGTACTACAGCACAGTTACTCAGGCACAGTTGAAAGAACAAGCATGAAAACCCGAGGAGGCTTTTGGAAAAGTCTGTTACAACATTTCTATTTTGAGTAATCAGTTTTAAAAATGTGATATTTCATGTAAATAATGCATGTGTTTAATAGGATTGATATATTTGCGATGGGCCTTGTTTGTGTGATTTAAGTTATTTTGAAGGTGCATAGTGTCATTGTAAGTGAAGTTATTATAAAACTGTTAAGCTACATTTTCACTGTTTACAATGGCAGAGCCATCTCGTTTACAAGCATGTTTTAAGGCTTAATTCCTGTTACACTTATGCTCCATGGGGATTTAGATTAAACTGCATAAAGGAAAATCTATTTCTTTGTTAGTTGTAGTTTGTTTTTAAATAGAAAAAAATAAATCGATTAAAATCGAAAATCGGATTTGGTGTGAAAAAATCGGAGAATTTTTTTTTTTGCCATATCGCCCAGCCCTACATGCGCTAAACTCCTGCTAGATTTGCTCCTGGATTATTGTATCTTTATTATTTTTGACATCAAACAGCATATTCATTGAAAAATAAAAAAAAATAACGGGCTTCTGCGCGTCATATCAGTCATCAAGGTTGAAATCGTCACAGATGGGTGGAAGAGAAAGATCGCTCTCTAACTAAAGCTTGAAAGAATCAATGAAAATACTACTTTGCGCATGTGTATAATAGACCTGTCACGATTACAAATTTTGCTGGATGATTAATTGTCTCCGAATTTATTGCGATAGGCGATAGTATTGTTGTTCTGAGATCATTTTCATCTAATACAATGACAATGATGCAGGTACGCCTTTTCAAAGAGAAATACACTTTTATTTTTAACTCATTGACTGCCCATTTCAGAACAGGTACTCCCATATTGCCAGCCGTTTCTGATTATTTTTACTGATTTTTCAAGACCCACAGAATATTGTGTACTATGACTATCTGAAATCCAACCAGATTCTGAAAGAATGGATTGTCTACTTTCATCAGCAAAAAGAATTTTGTTTCTAGCTTGTTTCGTTCCCCTGTAATCCCCAGTTGAGTAGAGGGAAGTTTTACTGAAATCACCAGAAAGCTGAGAAAAAAGAGGCACCACATGTGCATCTGGCTGTTTTCAAACCATTCAGAGAGAAATGCTGCCACCTGCTGGCTGGATAAAATATTGTATCTAATATGTATGGGGATGGCTTGAGACCATAGACATCTGGGAACGTAAAAATAGCGGGACACGCAATTGACGTGTTAACACGTCAATGGCAGACAACTATTTGTGGTCAATGAGTTAAAGCAGTGTTTTTCAACCACTGTGCCGCGGCACACTAGTGTGCCGTATGATATTGTCTGGTGTGCCGTGAGAAATTCGTCTACTTTGTCTAAAAATAACTGCATTCGCTGTTGACGAGCGGTGACTTGTTTTGAACTGTGGAGTAACCATGTAATACTTTTTCAAATCAGTAGATGGCAGCAGATAGCTAAGTACTTTGAAACTGAAAAATTGGATGCGACCATTGGCTGTAACAGGTCAGCATTGTGGCGAGAAAGGTAAAATTGGATGCGACCAACAAATGTAGGAGGGAGCGAGACAAGAGCTTTGTGGCGAGTGAGAAGTGAAAGTGATAGAGACGTTTTTGAAAATGAATTATGCCGTTTCTGAACAGGATTAACATCCTCCGCTCTGCCCCGGGGTAGCTGTGGCCGCGTTGTAGTGGTTTAACTATGAAATGTACCATTTTTGTACAACAGCTCTCGCGAACGCACTTCTGAACTGGGTACCGAGCGCAGACCGTAGTCGAGTGGACAGAACCACAGACATGCGGACCGGACAGAACCATGGACTCGCGTTCAGGACCTCCCGTGTCCCTCATCCAAAACTCCTGAATTTAAAGCTCGGATACCTAAATTTTTCCCATGCACTAACAATGCATGTTCTTTGTGTGAGTTATTATTTGACTATTTGGGCAGAGAGTGGATTTTCTTAGTTTTTTTCCACACAGTTAGTGCCACTTTATTCCCAAACTCTTGTTAATTGTATCAAGAAATATTAAATAAAGCTTAATGTCAAGGCCTGGACTTAAGCATTTTCATGAGAATAACTGTATATTGTGAATATAGGCTACAGAGTATACTGTATACATTATAAGATTAGATATACTTTATATATCACACAGAGTATGTACAGTATATATTTTTTTACATTAGTACTGTATACATTTTTACATTTTCTCCTGGAGGTGTGCCGCAAGATTTTTTCAGTGAAAAAAGTGTGCCTTGGCTCAAAAAAGGTTGAAAAACACTGAGTTAAAGTAGTACTAGAATTTAATATGCTGCTATCCAGAATATATAACTACAATATGTGTTTATAATATTTCGGGTGTTCATTTTGACATGTTCAGACGAATTATGTTAAAAAAAACTGCTTTGAAGTGGCACCTTTTCACTTCCGCATAGAAACGCTAGGGGGGGCCAAAATGGCGGCGATGACGTAGGAGAAGGGCATCTCACAGCAGCAGACAGCAGTCTGGGCTGAATCTGTAGGAGGTTTCACTGTCATCTGAACAAGGTATAAACATATTTTCATCCGTTTTGTACATAATAGTGCGCAATATGGCTGGGACAACGCGTCGACGTAATCGGTGACGTCGACGCAAAAAATACACTGACGTACAATATGCGCGTCGGTGCGTCACACACAAAACAAAGATGGCAGCGAGCGGTAGCAATGCGAGTGCCGTGTTAGAGAAGTGCAAGCCGGTGTAACGCTGAGATACACTGTCTTGAAGAGATGCACTGCCTCAGCTGTTTATGATGTAATGCAAACCTGTACATGCGCGTCTCACGGCAGCCGAAGCAAACCAAGATGGCGGACCGTGAATTTCTTTAAAAGTTAAAATACGAACAAATTCAGACACGAATGTCACTTTTAATGCAATTTGAGGCGAGATGTTGATGGTTCCGTTTTGTCACATGTGGGTTTTAAGAGTCAAAGTTTCGTGCAAAGTTTAGTTTAAGCAGTCAACTGCGCCTGTGAAACCACAAAGCTAATGTTTTCATAGCAGTCCGCGGCTGCTGACGTAGGCTGATGACGCGTCCTGTGGCAACTCTACACTCTTACAACTAGTCTGTCTTTCTTTGTATCAAACGGAATATTGGCGCCCGTAATAGCCCCTACATGTATTATTCACTGTCATGCCCGCCGTATATGGACATTTTTCAACATGTGTTCAATATCCTTAATGTGTTT